GAGTCTGGGTCCCCAGAGACTCGCCCGGAACTGGAGTTCAGAGCAGTCGGGAGCTTGTGACTCCCTCCCGATGGAAAAAGACAACCGCGTCCTCAGTTGCCAGCCCTTTTCACGTGCGCCTCCATACCTCTGCACTTGACTTCCGCACCTCCTCTGAGTCTCTGTGCTTTTCTCTTTCCTTCTAGTTGTAGAATTTCCACTCAGCAAGCCTTCCTGTGGTTCTGGATGATGTCCGTTTTGTCTTTTAGTTGTATTTTTGAAGTAGTTGTGCGAGGCAGCAATTTCCGGTGTTTACCTATGCCGCCATCTTGGTTTCTCCTAATCAGGTTCTTTTTATTTTAATATATTTTATTGATTTTTTACAGAGAGGAAGGGACAGGGATAGAGAGTTAGAAACATCGATCAGCTGCCTCCTGCACACTCCCTACTGGGGATGTGCCCGCAACCAAGGTACATGCCCTTGACTGGAATCAAACCTGGGACCCTTGAGTCCGCAGGCTGACGCTCTATCCACTGATCCAAACCGGTTAGGGCAATCAGGTTCTTTTTAAAAAGACAGTGGCTAACAGTTTTGTCTATTTATAAATCAAGTGTCAACATATTACACATTTACATGAATGAGTGTCAAATAAATACTATGAATTAAAAGCCTCCACAGTTCAATTAGTAGTTTTTCTTAATGTACGCTCTGTTTTCTTAACTTCTGGTCATTATTCTATAATTACTTTTGAGAAGCAATTTTCTAAGAGAGTACAAATTGGATTATTTCCCTTTATTGAATTGACTTTTTTTTTTCTTTTTAATTCCTTTATTGTTTAAAGTATTACAAATGGTATTACATATGTTTCCCTTTTCCCCCATTGACCTCTCCCCGGCCATCGAGCATATGCCCTCAACCCCCCTAGTGTCTGTGTCCATTGGTTATGCTTATATGCATGCATGCAAGTCCTTTGTTTGAACTCTTCCCCCCCGACCCCCACTCCCACCTTCCCTCTGAAGTTTGACCGTCTGCTCGATGCTTCTCTGTCCCTGGCTCTATTTTTGTTCATCAGTTTATGTTGTTCATTATATTCTACAAATGAGTGCGATAATGTGATATTTATCTTCTCTGACTGGCTTATTTCGCTTAGCATCCATGCTGTTGCTAATGGTAAGAGTTCTTTTTCTTTTTTTTTTACAGGAGCATAGTATTCCATTGTGTAGATGTACCACAGTTTTTTTAATCCACTTATCTGCTAATGGCATTTAAGCTGTTTCCAAATTTTAGCTATTGTAAATTGTGCTGCTATGAACATAGGTGTGCATAGTCCTTTCTGATTGGTGTTTCTGATTTCTTGGGATATATTCCTGGAAGTGGGATTACTGGGTCAAATAGGAGTTCCATTTTTAATATTTTGAGGAAACTCAATAATGTTTTCCAACCAGTCTGCATTCCCACCAGCAGTGCACTGGGGTTCCTTTTTCTCCGCATTCTCGCCAGCACTTGTCGATTTGTTGATGATAGCCATTCTGACAGGTGTGAGATGGTACCTCATTGTCATTTTGATTTGCATCTCTTGGATGATTAGTGACTTTGAGCATGTTTTCATATGTCTCTTGGCCTTCTGTATGTCCTCTTTCGAAAAGTGTCTCTTTAAGTCCTTTGCTCATTTTTTGATTGGACTGTTTATCTTCCTTTTGTTAAGATGTATGAGTTCCCTATAGATTTTGGAGATTAGGCCCTTATCAGATATAACATTGGCAAATATGTTGTCCCATGCAGTGGGCTTTCTTGTTGTTTTGTTGGTGGTTTCTTTTGCTGTGCAGAAGCTTTTTATTTTGATGTAGTCCCATTTGTTTATTTTCTCCTTAGTTTCTAATGCCTTAGGAGCTGTTTGATAAAGATATTGCTATGATATATGTCTGGTATTTTGCTACCTATGGATTCTTTTAAGATTTTTATGGTTTCCTATCTTATGTTTAAGTCCTTTATCTATTTTGAGTTTATTTTTGTGTATGGTTAAGTTGGTGGTCTAGTTTCATATTTTTACATGTATCTGTCCAATTTTCCCAGCACCATTTATTGAAGAGACTATCTTGACTCCATTGTATGCTCTTGCCTCCTTTGTCAAATTTAATTGAGGAAAATGGCTTGGGTTGATTTCTGGATTCTCTGTTCTGTTCCATTGGTCTATATGTCTGTTCTTTTTCCAGTACCAGGCAGTTTTGAGAACTGTGGCTTTGTACTATAGCTTGATATCTAACACCTATCCTCAAACTTCTCCAAATACTTTGAGAGGAGGAAAGATTCCCAAGCTCATTGTACAAGGCCAGCATTATCCTGATTCCAAAACTAGATAAAGACATTACAAAGAAAGGAAATTATAAGCCAAAATCCCTGATGAACATAGATGCAAATATCCTCAATAAAATATTAGCAAACTGAATTCAGTAATATAGTAAAAAGATCATACACTATGATGAAGTGGGATTTATTCAGAGGATGCAAGTTTCAATATCTGAAAATCATTTCATATGATACACCACAAAGATGAAATGAAGGGTAAAAATCATATGATTATATCAGTAGATGACAGAATCCAGCACCAATTTATGATTAAAAACTCTCAGCAAATTAGAAATAGAGGGAACATACTTCAAAATAATAAAGGCCATATATGACAAACCCACCGCTAATATCATACTCAATGGGGGAAAACTAAAAGTGTTTTTCTTAAGATCAGGAAGAAGACAGGGATGTCTATTTTCACCACTTTTATTCAATATAGTACTGGAAGTTCTAGTCACAGCAATTAGACACAGAAGGAAAAAGTAAAAGGCATTTCGATTGGAAAGGAAGAAGTAAAAATGTCATTTGCAGATGACAAGATCACCCTGAAAAGATTCCACCAAAAAACTACTAGAACTGATAAATTCACTAAAGTTGCAGGATACAAAATAAATATTCAGAAATTGAGATTGCATTTTTATACACCAACTATCAGAAAGAGAAACTAAGAAAACGATCCCATCACCATTGCAAAAAAATATACCTGTGGCCAACAGACATGAAAAGATGCTCAAATCACTAATCATCAGGAAAATGCATATTAAAACCATATCTGTTAGAATGGCTATCATCAATAAATCAACTAACAGCAAAAAATGGAACTGCCTTATGACCCAGGAATTCCACTTCTGGTGTACATCCAAAGAAACTCCAAACTCTCATTCAAAAGGATATATGCACCCCTAAGTTAATTGCAGCATTATTTACAACTAGTGGCCCAGTGGACGAATTTGTGCACATTGAAAGGAAATTAATTAGAAGAAATATTTTAATATCGCTATTTGCCCTTTATAATAGAAATGTCAACAAAAACAACCAAATTCATGGTCGACAATGACAGATTGAAACCCATGCATGCGATTGGCACCAGTGAGAACTTTATATGTATCACGCATGGGCGAGTCAACGTTTATTTTTAAATTGCCAGTGCGCGTCATATGTACCAGTCAGTTGGACGGTTGGACAGATGTATGGACAGTCACTTAGCCTTTTATATATTATTTACAATAGCCAAGATAGGGAAGCTCCCTAAGAGCCCATCAATAGAAGAGTGGATATATATGTAATAGTACATATATACAATGGAATATTACTTCGCCATAAAAATGAATTTTTTTAAATTTTGTTTTATTGCTTAAAGTATTACAAAGAGTATTACATATGTCTCCTCCCCCCCCTCCCCCTTGACATTCCCCCGGCCTCCCCTACCCCCCAGTGTCCTGTGTCCATTGGTTATGCTTATATGCATGCATACAAGTCCTTCAGTTGATCTCTTACCCCCTCCCTCCCCGCAACCCTCCCCAGCCTTCCCGCTGTAGTTTGACAGTCTGTTCGATGCTGCTCTGCCTCTGTATCTATTTTTGTTCATCAGTTTATAATGGTCTTTATTATCCATAAATGAGTGAGATCATGTGGTATTTTTCTTTCATTGACTGGCTTATTTCACTTAGCATAATGCTCTCCAGTTCCATCCATGCTGTTGCAAATGGTAAGAATTCCTTCTTTATTTACAGCAGCATAGTATTCCATTGTGTAGATGTACCACAGTTTTCTAATCCACTCATCTGCTGATGGGCACTTAAGCTGTTTCCAGATCTTAGCTATGGTGAATTGTGCTGCTATGAACATATGGGTGCATATATCCTTTCTGATTGGTGTTTCTGGTAAAATGAAATTTTATTATTTTCAATAGCTTAGAGGGTATTATGCTAAGTGAAATATGTCAGACAGGGGAAGGTAAATACCATATGATTTCACTTACATATGAATCTAAAAAACAAAGTAAATGAACAAATAAAACAGAAATAGATTCATAGATAAGAGAAGAGACTGATGATTGCCAGAGGCAAGGGAAGTTGGGATGCATGAAAAAGGTGAAGGGAATTATAAGTACAAATTGGTAATTAGAAAATAGTTATGGGGAGGTAAAGTAAACTATAGGGAATATGGTCATATTGTAATAACTATGTATGGTGCCAGGTGGGTACTTGAACTATCAGGGGGATCACTTTGCAAAGTATATGCTTGTGCATCTGAAACTAATACAAAATAATATTGAATGTAAACTAATTGAAAGTGAAATTTTAATAAAAGAAAAAATAGTGACAAGAAAAATTAGAATTAGCTTGACCATTAACACCTGATAACGCCAAAAACTTAGTTAATCCTCTTTCATTGATATCGCTCAAGATAAACTTGACTTTCAATTCCGGAATGTATTCTTTATTCAGCAATTTGGTCTTTCAGGTTCAGTTTGGCTGGAGTCCTAAGGTAACAGAAATTCTCCTCTGACTATTTTGCTTTGATATGTAACCATATCTGAAGCATGAAAAACATTTTCTTTATCACGATAGGGATGAAGATCAGGCTCATTTTTAACTTTTTGGTATTTATTTGATTTTTTTTAAATGGATGTATTTACTTCTGACCTGTTTACTTTTTTCCTTTCTAGTTTAAGATTGATAGAGAATGGTGGACGTGGATTGATTATAACCGCTTCCAGGAGCTCATCCAGGAATATGAAGACAGTGGTGGATCAAAGACTTTCAGCGCTGAGGATTATATGGCGAAAACTCCTCACTGGGCTTTATTTGGTGCCAATGAAAGAGGCTTTGATCCCAAGGACACACGATTTCAGAGGAAGAACAAATCAAAGGATATTTCTGGATGTTGACATTGTCTGCATTTAGGATACTGAAGGACAAAAACTGACGGCCCCAGCGGGTTCTCAGACTCCACCGTGATCTTTTCAAGGAAAAATTACACAAATTATATTTCATACCCAGGAGACTGTAAGGCAGGACCTGGGGATGCAAGTCATGTCCTGGGACTGAGGAGACAGCTTCACTCTTGGAGTTCCACAGTCTCACCATTTCTTTCCAGAACTCAGTCCCTTTTCTGATTTTCCTTCTCAGAAGAAATTCACAGTGGGGGGAGGGGGAGGGGAGAGTATACATACTCATTATTAGGATCTAACTGACAGTTTGAGTTATAATTAGTAACACCACCCTTAGAGTGCTATTCATGTTGTACGGAATGAGTATCTTCCTCTTCCCCTTGCGGCTATAGCCCTTGTGGATTGTACGGCCCTGAGGTAAGTGTATCCACTCCCTTCTTAGATTTGAAAGTAACTTAAGTTGTCATAATTCTCAGTTACTTTAAAATACTGCATATATTACTTCAAATTTTTTAGTGCCAACCCTTTAGAAACTGAATTGGTTTTAAAACTGGACTAGATATCATTCCATTCCCAAATTGCCATAGAGGGTAATATATGGGCTGGATTAGAGTGAAAGCTCTTTTCTATAAGAGGAATTGCCATCTGATGTCATTCAATACTTAGTCTCACAAACCTTGAAACAATGAGTACAATTTGCTTTTTGTTTAAAAAGTCAGTGTTTAAGCCTCGTATGAGTACACATATAGCAGGTCTGACCATCTTCTTTTGCTCTTGTTGCCTTAGGTAATTTACTCAGTCTGTTCTTTAAGGTTCAAGTTTTTTCTCATTGTAAATATGAAATACTCAATAGCTTTTTAAAGTATTATAGTTATTTTTTAAATTTCTTTATCCTAAAAATTTTATTAATAAAAAATCTTTTGTAGACATTTAGAACACAGATTTCTTTTGAGTGTTTGTTTTAAAGATGCGTCTAGTCTTTTCAGAAATACTTTCTCCTTATCTATCAGTATTTCATTCAGATCTCTCTTCTCTGCTGGAGTAAAATTCACACATAATATAATCCACCTACTTATTTAGTTGCAAATTGGCCCTGTATTTATAAGTCATAGAGTCAAAATACTTCTCTCTTTTGTGACACAGGATGGGATAGTGACAAAGTACCACAGAAATCACATGTTCTTTCTTGAACCGACCACATCTTCAAGCCTATGTTCAGTTTCCTGTTCTGTTGACTTACGAGAGACGAGCTGGGGGTGGCCTAGCTCAGGGAGGCAAGATCTCATTGAAACTCAGGTATGCTAGTAGTCACGAACAGAAATGGAAAAACACCTTGAAGTAGAATGAAATGTTAAAAAACAAAACAAATAAACAAGAGGTTATACTAAGGAGCCCACAGGTGAGCTCCTATTTGTGATAGGTAACCAAGCAGCCAGTTGTTGGAAAATACCTCAGGGAGTGCAATGAGGAGGAGGCAGAGCCTGCAGGGCTTTGGACCATCCCTCATCCTCCATTTCTTTTTTAAATTTTTTTGGTTAATCATCACTTGAGGATATTTTTTCCCACTGATTTTTAGAGAGAGTGGAAGGGAGGGAGGAAGGTGAGGAAGAGAGAGAGAGAAACATCCGATGTGATAGAGAAATATCTACTGGATGCCTCCGGAAAGCACCCCAACTGGGTCCGGGGATTGAACCTGCAACCCAGGTACATGCCTTTGACTGGAATCGAACCTGCACCCTTCAGTCCATGGGCCGATGCTCTAACCCAGTGATAGCGAACCTTTTGAGCTCGGCATGTCAGCATTTTGAAAAACCCTAACTTAACTCTGGTGCCGTGTCACATATAGAAATTTTTTGATATTTGCAACCATAGTAAAACAAAGACTTATATTTTTGATATTTATTTTATATATTTAAATGCCATTTAACAAAGAAAAATCAACCAAAAAAATGAGTTGGCGTGTCACAGGTTCGCCATCACTGCTCTAACCACTGAGAAAAACGAGGTAGGGCCCTCATCTTCTTTTTCAACCAGGCAACTACGCTTTTATTTTTTATGTATGAGGTTCTGCTTAAGATTTAACTTGGAGAAAGATACTCTGATGCTTCAAAGAAAAAACAAAACAGAAAAACCTTTCAGTTGCTGAAAGAGCCCTCCTGACTTCATTAACCTTAGGTACACAAATGAGTTGTTTTTATTCCCCCCAGGAAATGTTTGCTTTATATTAAAAAAAACAACAACATGGCATATTAATCACAGTTCACAGTCACAACAACAAAATGTAAATGCCTAGGAAAACTACAGTGAAATCCACATGAAAAAATTCATCACGTTCCCTGAGTGGTATTAAAGTAGGAGAGGATGGGAAGCCTGAATATTCCAAGAAGGTGACTTATTTTGAAAGTAGGCTCCTAAATGACCACTGGAAATTATCATTGGAGCTTGAGCCAATGATTCTAACATTCACCTGAAAAATTACCCAAATGGGTACAAATAGTTACAAACTTATAGGGAAATAATTATTAAAGGAAAATTGCTTTACAAGGTATTAAAACATGTTATCAAAAATAATTAAAACTATGAAAACCAAGATGGCGGCATAGGTAAACACGGGAGTTTGCTGCCTCGAACAACCACTTCAAAAATACAACTAAAAGATGGAACGGACATCATCCAGAACCACAGGAAAGCTGGCTGAGTGGAAGTTCTACAACTAGGAGGAAAGAGAAAAGCATACCGAGGCTCAGAGGAGGCGCAGTGCTGAAGTAAAATACTAAGGTTCGGAGTGCATGCGGAGCGGGCTGGAGGCTGAGGGCGCGGTTGACGTTTTCAATCGGGAGGGAGTCTCAGGCTCTGAGCTCCAGTTCCGGGCGAGTCTCTAAGGACCCACACTCATACGGGAGAAGCGGGACTGTCTGGCATCGGTCAGAACCCGAGGGCAGCTTTCTCTCCATGGGGCTTGCAGCGACTACTGGGACACTGAGAAGCAGAGCCTCTGAGGGCAAGACTGAGAGCAGCCATAATTGCTAACCCCGCCCTGGTGATCCCGTGGGACCCGCCCCGCCCAAGCCCTGCAGGGAGGCTTTTGCTGGATAGCCGCAGGCAAAGGCTAGATTAGCACCTCCCTAGAGATCCAGGAGCCAGGAAGCCCAGAGGTCAGAGGGGGACCATCCAGCTTACAGCTCCGTGGAACCATAAAAGACACACTCAGGGGGCAGACTCAGTGAGCACCAAAGCCCCATCAAAGCAAGTCTAGCCCCAGAGGGGTGTCTCCAGCACAGAAGTTCTCCCACCGCAGACACAGCTGATTCTCACAGCCAATTGGCCTGGAGGTCAATTCCTCACAGTGATAACTACAACAATCAAGGCTTAACCACAACAAGACTGTGCACAAAGCCCACAAGGGGGTGCACCAAGAGTGTCTACCTCAGGTAATTGGGACACTTAGCACAGAAAGGCACTCTATCGACACAGCGAAGCATAAAAAATGCCGAGACAAAGAAACAGGACACAAACGACAGAATTGGAGGAAAGCAAACTGTTGGATATAGAGTTCAAAACCACACTTTTAAGGTCTTTAAAGAACTGTTTAGAAGCCGCCGATAAATTGAGTAAGGCCCTCGAAAAGACTGGTGAGACCGCCGATAAATGTAGTGAGATCCTCGAAAAGACTGGTAAGACCGCCGATAAATGTAGTGAGATCCTCAAGAAATCTAACGAGACCCTCGATGTTGTGATAAAGGACCAACTAGAAATTAAGCATACACTGACTGAAATAAAGAATATTATACAGACTCCCAACAGCAGACCAGAGGGTCGCAAGAATCAAGTCAAAGATTTGAAATATGAAGAAGCAAAAAACACCCAACCGGAAAAGCAAAATGAAAAAAGAATCCGAAAATATGAAGATAGTGTAAGGAGCCTCTGGGACAGCTTCAAGCGTACCAACATCCGAATTATAGGGGTGCCAGAAGATGAGAGAGAGCAAGATATTGAAAACCTATTTGAAGAAATAATGACAGAAAACTTCCCCTACCTGGTGAAAGGAATAGACTTCCAAGTCCAGGAAGCGCAGAGAACCCCAAACAAAAGGAATCCAAAGAGGACCACACCAAGACACATCATAATTAAAATGCCAAGAGCAAAAGACAAAGAGAATCCTAAAAGCAGCAAGAGAAAGAAAATCAGTTACCTACAAGGGAGTACCCATACGACTGTCAGCTGATTTCTCAACAGAAACTTTGCAGGCCAGAAGGGAATGGCAAGAAATATTCAAAGTGATGAATACCAAGAACCTACAACCAAGACTACTTTATCCAGCAAAGCTATCATTCAGAATTGAAGGCCAGATAAAGAGCTTCACAGATAAGAAAAAGCTAGAGGAGTTCATCACCACCAATCCAGTATTATATGAAATGCTGAAAGGTATCCTTTAAGAAGAGGAAGAAGAAGAAAAAGGTAAAGATACAAATTATGAACAACAAATACATATCTATCAACAAGTGAATCTAAAAATCAAGTGAATAAATAATCTGATGAACTGGTGATTGTAATAGAATCAGGGACATAGAAAGGGAATGGACTGACTATTCTTGGGGGGGGGAGAAAGGGGTGTGGGGGTGAGTGAAGAGATTAGACAATAATCGTGCACCTATGGATGAGGACAGTGGGTGGGGAGTGAGGGCAGAGGGTGGGGTTGGAACTGGGTGGAGGGGAGTTATGGCGGGAAAAAAGAGTAACTAATGTAATAATCTGAACATTAAAGATTTAATAAAAAAAATAATAATAATAATTAAAACTATGAAGAGATCAACTTCCAAAATGACAGGGAAAGGACTTTAGTGAACTCACTCTCCCTCTAAAACAATAAAAATATGAACTAAAATAAAAGACTTTTAGAATTCTAACATTTAACCAAAGCTGCACAACAAACTGAAAATTGTTAAGAGAAATTCCTGCACCACAATAAAACGAACTTGAATTCTCATCAGAAAACATGGAGGCCAGAAGTCAGTGGGCTGATACCTCCCCAGTGCTGAAAGAAAAGACTTTCAACCAAAAATTCTATAGCTAAATCCTCCTTCAAAGACATAGGAGAAGTCAAGACATTAAAAGATAAACAAAAACAAAAGAATTTATCACTAGCAGACCTGCCCTACAAGAAATACTAAAGGGAACCATTCAAGCTTTCATGGAAGTACGCTGGAAACTAACTCGAAGCCACATGGAGAAGTAAAGAGCACTGGGAAAAGTAACTGTTATGTCTGATCGAATGACTGAATGGACACCCCCTGCCCTGGGAACTGGCCTTTAGACCAGCGGTCGCCAACCTTTCAGACCTCACAGACCACCAGTGGTCCGCGCGGACTACCGGTTGGCAACTACTGCTTTAGAGCACTTCACAGCAGACATTCCCTTTTGCTTAGCACTTGCTACGACCACAGTCCACTTGTTAAGACCATTATCTTTTCCCTCAGGACCCGCCCAGAGAGTTCTCTGCCCAGGAAAAGCCCGCCTAGAGTCCTTTAAGATCTCCGACTCCCTGTCCCTGGGTGCTGGCGCCATTTTGGGGCTCAGCCCATCTGGTTTTCCAGATGACCTAATAAATTCATAATTCTTTACCCCTTTCGGCCTCCTACGTTCCTCCTTTGGCGACCCGAACAGTAACCACATAGGTTTTTAAAAAGACAGTATAAACTTATGTTTGTTTTTAATTCTATCTGTTTTAAATACAACTGCCTAAAGTAATAATTATAAAACTGTTATTGGACTCACAATATGTGAAGATGTAATTCGTATGTCAATAATAGCGCTAAATAGAGGGAACATAAGTATGACATTGGAGCAACTACTGACTATCCACTACTGAAATTAAGTTAGTATGAGTCCAAGGTAGATTTTTAAAGTTAAGATGCTAATTGTAATCCCAAGAA